GGATCAGCAAATGCTTCTGGCATTTGAGTTGAATTATCTTCTAAGTGAGGATCATATTAATGATAATTCGATTCATATAGCATATTTTTCAGCTGTTTATTCCATTCCCCAAATGTTAGAAAAACTATACATATATCCCCAATCTTCCTTGGGAAACATATCTTTGTGCATTGTGGTAGAGAAATTAATCATATACCACACATCAAAAGATAGTAAAATATTTGGTTTCTGATCCTAAACCAATTGTGAGGGGAGGACTTATCATATATTGTTGGTCTGATGCATACAAGTGCTGCTATATGCAATTTAGAAAATCTTAGACCAACACATGAAGCTTTGTTCTCATAAACAATAGTTTAGCCATTAATAGGAGGTATTCACTGCTAAACTAACTTGTATATAAACCAGCATTATCAAGATGAACTGTCTTGATTTCATAATCTGAAAATCATGCTCTTAAGTGAGAAAAGCAATTTCAAATGCCAAACTGCAGGTTGACAATAAACATACATGTAACCATCTTATATATGCATCTGTAAGTGGTTCACATGATAGGTGAATGAGCCCATATTCACCTTTTATATATTTCAGAATCAGGGGTCTTAGTCCCAACTTTAGCTGGTATAATCAATTTATTATGAGAACAAGCAACACGGGAGAATTCTTGAGAATCTTCTAGTTCTTTAGTATATGCTTATCTAAATTCTCAAATAGCTCATTTAAAAATGGCAAATGAAAACTTCAAGTTTATCATGGCATGTGCTATCTCTTAGTAAACTTCTGCTTTACTATGACATAAACTTTTGCATTAGTAAACTTCTGATTTACTATGGCTACTTTTGTATTAGTAAACTTCTGGTTTACCGTGATACATGATGTAGTACAAATCGAAGAATAACGCGGGTAACTTCTCATATATATATTATTTTACCCCCTATGATTGTAGAAACATGAAGATTTTCAATCTTCCAATCATTTATAGTCGCAATATGATAGCCATTTATTTTAGTAAACTTCGGGTTTACTACAACATATGTTTTGACCATAATCATATAATATGAATGACATATTTGTAATTAAGCTCTTCGAGAGCCTTCATTTATTATTCACAATCTAATATTTATCGGACACTACTGGTGTCATGTGTATTCTAGGCAAACACTTAGCTCTTCAGGAGTTGTTGATATATTTTGTACTATCAAATATTGCTCAGACACTTCTGGTATCATAAGAGAAAATCACAATCAAATAAACAATTGTTTAAGCACAAGAAAACTCCTCTTCATAATATTTTTCTACTTCAGGAGGCAATTTCAATTGTATTACTTCTTCAGGAGCAAATTTAAAATACGAAATATTGAGTATATATTCTCTCAATCATATTACCTCTTCTGGAGGTGAATTGTAATATATTTACATCAAGAGCGCGTTCATATTTACCAGATTTATTAATATTGTCACATTCACTTCAGGGAATAGATTATTATTATTAAAAGTTCTCATCCTTCAGGAAAATCAAACATAATTATCTGAATGCGCACTAATCACATCAAATTGTGATACCTCAACCTCTTTTAAAATATTTACTACTTCAGGAGCAAATCGAGGCGTGCATTTAATATAGAGAATATTTATGTAGCTTATCTTCCATTGTAACCATAGAAAGCCTAAATTATCACTTCTGCTGATCATAGGCATATACCACTTCTGGTGGTTAACAAAATATAATTACAATGAGATATACGAAAATCACTTCTGGTGGTTGTATATTTCTTGCAAACTTTGCTAGAGTTTAAGTTGATCTAATAATGTTATCCGTATTCTTCAAAATGACATAAATAAGATATATTATAGTAAACATCATTATCAAATCATAATTTTTCTTTATGTACAACAATTACATAACCATACTATCTATTACAAACAACAAAAATTAAAATATTTACATTTCTACAGATTCACCACCGATCATATGACTTGTTTCTCAATCTGGGAGTGCAAGGTAATCAACTACATCTAAATGCATAAAGTCTAAATTATCTTCAAAAATAAAATTTGCTTCAGCATTTTTCTTAGTCTTCTTTAGGGAGGCTTGATAAAGCTCAACCAGGTGCTTTGGCGTACGACAAGTACGTGACCAGTGCCCTTTTCCTCCATATCTATAGCATGCATTTTCTGCATTTTGTGTTTGCACCGCTTCATGCTTTTGTTCCTTCCTTTTCCACTGCTGGTGGTGAGGAGGGTTCTTTGGTGCATTATTATTACCATGATTAAAGTTTCTTCCCCGACCACGGTCATGACCACGACTGGGGCCACGACCTCTTCCGCGCTTAGCTTGGTGGAAGTTCGTCTCATTCACTTCAGGGAACGGACAAGAACCAGTAGGTCGGCTTTCATGATTTTTCATTAATAGCCCATTATGTTGCTCGGCTACAAGAAGATGTGAGGTAAGTTCAGAATACCTTTTGAATCCCATCTCTCGATATTGCTGCTGCAGGAGCATATTCGAGGCATGAAAAGTGGTGAAAGTTTTCTCCAACATATCATGGTCAGTAATATTATCACCACATAATTTCAATTGGGAAATAATTCTGAACATAGCAGAATTATACTCACCGGTAGATTTAAAATCTTGCAGCCTTAGATGAGTCCAATCATAACGTGCCTGTGGAAGAACGACCATCTTCAGGTGGTCATATCTATCTTTCAAATTACTCCACAGTATGACTGGATCTTTAACAGTAAGATATTCCATTTTCAGGCCCTCATTAAGGTGATGGCGTAGGAATATCATTGCTTTGGCACGGTCTTGGTTTGATGCCTGATTTTTATCCTTGACGGTGTCTGCCAGACCCATCGCATCAAGATGAATTTCAGCATCAAGCACCCAAGACATGTAGCTTTTGCCCGATATATCCAGGGATACAAATTCAAGTTTAGAAAGATTTGACATTATATAGAAAAAGAAAGTTCGTACCTCAGATACTTTCAAAGTATTTGCTCGAGATGGCAGAGTCTTGTGCTGATAACGTGTTATAAAATAAAGACTGTAAAGTAAAGACAAGTATAGAGAGAAACTGATATATTATTCGAATTCAAACTGATGTTCATAATGAACTGAAATCTCTTTTATTTATAGAAGAAAGGAAGCTGCTGTGTAAGCTGCTACTGCAAGCTGCTGTGTAAGCTGCTACTGCAAGCTGATGTGTAAGCTGCTATTATACCAGATATGGATAATCTTCTACTAGGGGCAATGATTATCCATAACGGAGTACTGAAAGGATAAGCTTATTGTACCCGGTATGGATAATCTTCTATCGGGGGTAACGTTTATCTATAACCGGGTACCGAAGTGATAAGCTTATTATACCCGGTATGGATAATCTTCTATCGGGGTTAATATTTATCCATAACCGGGTACCGAAGTTATAAGCTTATTTCCAATAGAGTACTCAATAGATAAACATATTTACGGCGGAGTCCCATATGGATAAACTTCTTCAGGAAGCTTATTTACAACGGAGTACTAAATGAACATTCATAATATAATATATTTATAACAAGTACTAAATTGTTACTTTTTCATTTCCCTTTTGTTTAGTCTTATCTTTACTTAAAAATCCGTTGACTCCTTTTCCTCTATTGCTAACTAGTTTGAGTAGCTTTTCACAAAATTGGATAGGTTTTCTATATTTTTAATTTCTAAAAGTATTATTTTTGACTTATTTACAATTTTGAGTTACCAAGTTCAGTGAGATTCGACCACAAATTCTTTTAAATTAAGGTTGAACCCTAAAATAGTTTCAAAAAAATGTTTCTTTGTTCAGCAATTTTTTTTTTAAAATTATAGAGCATTTGACAGAATTAGAACAAAATCTAATAATTGAATTGATAATGGATAGGCATGATTTATATATGTGTACCATAGCAAAACAGGACCCATCCATGTTTCTTCTTTTTCACTAAATGATTCATGTGACAAATTTGAAGATGTAGACGGGGACTCGGCCACACCTAATTAGTATTTACTAAAAATATCAGTATATTATTGATGAAGTCCAATAATGTGCAGGTCACATTGTATAATTTTTTTTTTGTTAATAAGGGACCCGCAATCGATACCCTTGATTTCGCACAGGGTACCTACCTTGCTCACGTATGCGTAAGGCTTCGTATAATAGATTCTTGTGATCTGGCACTTTCCTAGATTCCGTGCATAGTAAGAGCTTAGTGCACCGGACTGCCTTTATTTTCTTTGTTAACAAGGGACCCGCAACTGATACCTTCGGGTGTGCACAGAGTAAACCTTGCTCATGTGTAACAACCCGCAAATCATATTGGACGATAAATTGCACTAGGTAAGTTATGTGATGAACTCGACTGAGGAGGTATGCAAATGGGTTTCAAACCCTAGACCTTCCACCAGGGAAGTTCCCCGCTCAGCCAACTCATTCAATGAAGGGTACATTATATTATTTTTGTTGTTGTAAATCATCAACATTTTGAGCCCGTTTGGATATAAGTTTTTTTTTTTTTCCGAAAAATTTTCACTTTTTTTCGAAATCAATTTTGGCCATAAAATTTTCAATTTTCACTTGAAGACGAATTTTGAAAATTTCAAAAGGTTGTTTTTCAAAATTCACTCAGATCACTCACAAAACTTTAAAAGTAACCAAAAATTATATTCATATCCAAACATAACTCTAATTTTCAAATACCATTTTCACTTGAAAATATTTTTCGCTCTTTTTTTAATTTTTTTTTTTTTTTTTTTTTTTTTTTGTTACCAAACGCCCACTTAGTTTTCTTTTTAGCATCATACACTATTTTGTTATAATAATTAGTAGTTCTCTTATTTCCTTTTTATGGCGCAGTGGGGGAATAAAATATAGGCATGAGCAAAAATTATATTCTTCGGCTGGTCCCACCATTAAAAGACAGCTGGGAGTATACTATGTGTATCTTTATGTATTTATGCAATTTGGCATTACATTCATAATAACCATTTCCAACTTGACAAAAGCTGTCACAGAACTAGAGTAGTAGTATATATCCTAAATCTCTCTGAGCTACTTTTCTTTTTTCCCAACTTAGGAGGAGAAACACAAATTGAGATTTTCTTCTGTCATATGTTTAAAAAAATCTAAATATCTTTTTTGAGCTGATTGAACAAAGAGAGAATGTCATTAGTAGGTGAATTGCACTCAGTTTATTCAATCTGCAGTTTTGCTGCTGGGATTGCAGGTAATCTTCTTCCTCACCCCAACTCTAACCATTTAATTTTCTTGTGCCTGTTACTGATCTGCTGCTTTCGTGTTCTTTAAAACCTTTTTTTCTTTATTTAAAGTGAAGAAACTTTTGTGGACAGGAATAATTGAACTTTCTTCTTCTTCTTCTTTTTTTTGGGTATTTTTCCATTTGTAAAGGTTCCATCTTTTTCTTCTAATTTGACTAGTTTTTGGCACATCATTGGAGAATATCTGTTTAAACTTCATTTATCTTTTTGTGTATAATGAGGATTGTTTGTTTTGAAAGTTGGTTCCTTTTCTATGTTCCTTTCTTCTTTTGGTTGTTTCTTTGAGGGGGAGAGGGAGGTTGTATTCATTGGATGGAAAGATTGTTTTGTTCTTTTCTCTTTCTGAATGTAATATTTTGCCATCAATTTTTCTGAATAAATGCTTGGAACAATCTTATTAGAAACCAAAAATATCATTTAAGTCCATCTGTTATGTCATTTGAGGTTAGCATTTATAGCAATAACTAAATTGGAGTGGCATCATATTAATGAATATCCGATTAGTTACTAAATGTCAGACTAATTTCCCCTTAAGGCTTTAGTTTTAGAAGTATGACTTCAAAAAATCCCAAAAGTGGCTCTTTGAAGCTCTCCTCAGGGTTTGATTGGTCAGAAGAAAGATCTTGTAATTGATAGAAAAGGAACAGAAACAAAAAGAAAGAAGAATAGATCAGCTTAGTCTCTTCTTACTAATCATTTCCTATCTTGTACTTCTCATTGCTTTTCTTTTTATCCGATCGACTAAAGCATTCCAACAATGAAGGTTTTATTCAATCTGACAATTATAACACTAGAATTTCTCTAAAGCATCAGCTAAATTGGAAAAAGTTTACACTTTCTAACCAAATATTTGGTTAATGTGTAACGCAGGGAACCTCTTCGCGTTCGTCTTATTCGTGTCACCAATGTAAGTTTTCTAAATCTTTGAACAGTGAAAATGTAGTGCAAGCGATTAATATGTTGCATTGATGTTGATGGTATCCCTCCTTCAATTTTCAGACCAACATTCAGAAGAATCATCAGAAGCAAGTCTACAGAACAGTTTTCTGGATTACCTTATATCTATGCGCTCATTAATTGCTTAATATGCCTCTGGTATGGGACACCAATTGTATCTCCTGGTATTATATTGGTTTTCACTGTCAACTCAGTTGGAGCAGTGTTCCAGCTAGTATATATCACCATCTTCATCATTCATGCTGAGCGGTCAAAGAAGGTCATTTTGGTTCTTTCATATCGAATTTTGCTAAAGTTTCTAATGCAAACTGATCTTTTGCTTATAATCGTTACATGTTCAATGCAGTTGAAAATGTTGGGGTTGTTGCTTGGCGTTTTTGCTGTATTTGCTGCTATAGTGGCCATCAGCATATATCTGTTTGAGCCTCCTAGTCGACAAGCTTTCGTTGGATATTTATCCGTCATTTCTCTGATTTCCATGTTTGCTTCTCCACTATTCATTATTGTAAGTTTTCATGAAGAAAGTACTATAAGTTTTCATGAAGAAAGTACTATAACCTAAGATGATAAAGACGCCATTCCTCATACTGATTGGTTTAAGAAACAAATTTTTGGGCAGAATTTGGTGATCAAGACAAAGAGCGTGGAGTACATGCCGTTTTATCTATCGCTTGCAACTTTTCTCATGAGCCTTTCTTTCTTTGCCTATGGAATGTTCAAGAATGATCCATTCATCTCTGTAAGTAAACCTTCCATTCTTCAGGCGGATTTCCTTCTCTTTAACTTCCTTTCCAGTCCTATTTATGTAACCTAATATGTAGCATGGCTTTGCTTCAAAGACAACATTGTTAAAATTTTATTACTTCTGAAATTTTTCTTGTTGTTTCTGGAGATAAATTAGAGGAAGTATGAGCTCGAAAGTTTTTCCCAACCACTATTCATGAAAGGTGAACATTTATCATAGTAACTATTTTTAATTGAAAATGCGCGAACCCTGAAAATTGGCTAAATTAATGTTCTATACCTTCTAGGAAATGCCCAATGGTCTGTTAGCTTTCTGCTTAACTGCTTTTACCTCCTACTACATTGGCCAATGCGTTGACGCTGGTGCAGGGCAAGTTGGCTTATTGTTATTTATTATTTTGCTTTTTCACATTCGGGCGCTTGGGCGAAGGGTGCCAGGGTTGAGGTCAGACCTACACCTCTTCACCCACCCTCCAAAAAACAAGGAACACCAGAAAGAGCAAGAAATGCCCCTCGAAAGAGACTGCATCAATTAATCCCACAATGGTGTTTGAGTTTCGTGGTGATGGTCATCATTGTTGATGTTGTTATGTTTCATTTGCTGAATAAATATGTTCTTCTGAATGTGGTCAGGTACCAAATGGGATAGGAGCAATTCTTGGTGTCATACAACTGGTCCTATACTTCAGATATAGCAAATCAGAAGAGGAGCCAAGAGCACCTCTCTTGGATTCTTATGCATGAGATGCAAGATTATGGCTGGAGCCTGGAGTTAAGATTCATTCATTAAGAAGTGACTCAAAACTTTATCTTTTCTCTTTTTTCTGATTCTTTTTTCTTGTGCGGGAATTTGGGAAGTTGAGAAGTCTTTTTGCTTCTTTTTCTGTTAATTTAATTTTTTGAGGAAAGAGCTTGAAAGATGTACTATAGGTGGTGAAGAATATATGATTTCAAATTGTGGAAAGTATAGTTACTTGTCCAGTGTTCTGTGCTCAAAATTTCATTGAGTGTCTATTGTTTAATGAAAGGTTCAAGTGCTGAGTTAACAAGTTTTCGTTTACTCTGCTTGTGTTTCATCCTCATTGTTTAACTAGTTTCTGAACACGTGCAACGCACGTGTAACCCTTATCAATCGTTACAAACTTCTTAAAATTGAATATAACCAAAAATATCTAAACGATTTGTTAAAAATTCTATAAAATGGATATAGCTCTTGGAAGTCAGATGTATTGAAATACTTAACTCCACAACCCCCTCCCCCCCTCCTCCCCCCCCCCCCCCCAAAAAAAAAGGATTTCGATATGTAAGAATTATTGTGCCTTAAATCCTACTGAATGATAGTTGATTTATGAGGATTTGAGTTATGTTTTTCTACTTGTCCTATATTTTTCTACTTATATATAACTGAAACTTAGATTCAAATGATAACAATTAACTTATAAAATAATTTAACAGTTAACCGTGCACTGCACTGTAGGCACTATTGTTCGTTGATTTACATAGTAGACTTCCACATAACCCATCGCTTCTTACTGGTAAAAGTAAATAGAAGGGGATGTAAAGAAGTGAAGTCTACTAATGGGCATGATAATTAACCTAACACTTGAATCAGAAATTTCTTGTTACAGCAAAAGGAAAATAATAAAGTTAACACTATTTCTCAGTGAAACTCAATAACAATAGTGTAGTAGTCAAATTTTTCCTAATAAAAGATATTCATTTCATGTTAAAACTATGAAAATATTATATAAAAACAAGAACAATTGTGAAATTTGTTCGAGACTCATAAAATTAACCGGAAAAGAAGAAACTTTACCACATTTAGCACTTGTAGATTGGTGTTATGTGCCGTAGACAGTTAACAGATATGCCAAATGAAAAGAACAAATTTTTTTTATGAGAAAAAGGATTTTTCCAATTGACAAATGTGTTGGTAATACTGTGTTCAAAATCAGAAAAGTAAACAAACGTTAGTTCAATAAACAAAACGTAAAATAATTCCGAGCCCACTGAATGCACAATGTGTCCTTAAGGAATTTAATCCCCTCACTGTTGCCCAAGGTATACGGATTAATTCCTCTCAGGATAGAACGGAATAACTATTCTGTGATAGCGGCACTTCAAATCACAGAACTTCAGCGAACTCAACAAACGGAGCAAATCACACTTGACACTTATGTTTATTTAGAAAATAATGCAACAATGTAGAAAAGAGGGGAGAAGATTTCAGATTTTTGCATGTCTGATTTCATGTCTCAAAAATGAGGCCAAGCCTCTAAATTTATAGACAACGGAAGGGTGATATGGAGAGGTGCAATCTAAAAGGTGCCTCTTCCATTTCCCATTCACACCCCTTAATAAAAACGCAACAATCCCCCACATGAATGGGGAATGGTCATATGAGGAAAAACATGCATGAAAATACTGTGTGATTCACAAACAAGGATTAATCGCATCTGGATAAGTAGGTTTCCCTTTGAACTTTCCGTAGTGAACTTATGTCGGATATACTCGGTCAATCGGTAGATTTGATATCTTTGAACCGTCGAACTTTGGTGTATACCTAGACAACCATAAGTCACACAATTAACCCTTAACCGTCTTTGGTTCTCACGGTTGTGTTCGTTTCAGCCATGAACACCGCCTGGTTTCATGAGTGCTTAGAGAATAGGCCTTTACTTTCATTCCCCTTAAAGCGGCTTACACTTAACACTCACATAGGTGATTTCTAAACGTGTAATCCTATAGACACACTATCTGGTCATATCCTGTCAGACTTAGAAAATCATTAAAAAGCTTTAAGCTTTATTGACTCATCAAAAAGCCTTAATGCTTTACCTTGATTTCTGAACATTGTCTTCATCACGAGAATGGGTTGAGTTATTTGAGAATGTTGAACCGTCATTCATAACTTTGTTTGATCTCTTTGAACTTAGCTCTTGGGATCTCCAGTCTGCTAGGTAGAGTTACCGCCATGATGACTTGCCCTAGGCCTTAGCCCCATTCCCTTCAATGATATTTCAACTGCCTCTCTAGATAGGCCTGTGGATCCGACACGTTATCTCTTGACTTTACGTAGTCAATCGTGATAACACCACTAGAGAGTAGTTGTCTAACGGTATTGTATCTCCGTCGAATGTGACGAGATTCTCCGTTATACATAACGCTCCTTGCCCTTCCTATTACCGCTTGACTATCACAATGTATACACATAGGTGCCAAAGGTTTGGCCAAAATGGAATATCTTCCAAGAAATTTCGGAGCCATTCAACTTCTTCACCGGCCTTGTCTAAGGCTATAAACTCAGTCTCCACTGTAGAGCGTTCAATACACATTTGTTTGGATGATTTCCAAGACATCGCTCATCCACAGACTGTTTAGAATCGGTTGAACCAGTGATTTAATTTTCATCACTATACCCCTCTATTATCGCGGAATACTTATTGTAGTGCAAAGCATAATTTGGAGTATATTTCAAATACTTCAAAACTCGTTTCATTGTCATGAACGTTTAATGCAAACTTCCTTATGTTGTAGACTAATATGTCTCGACTTTCGATTGCATATCATATTATTGACTACACTTAATGTAGTAATTATAACAACAGCTGGAATGATTGGCATCAGTTGTGGCCACAACCTTTTAATATATAACACATTTCGCAATCATTCCGCCATTTTCAAGCATTTGTATGTTATTCATTCATACGTCTGTATGATATGCAAATTATAGCACCTTCATTCATGAAACAAATCCAATTTGCAATAGATTTTGATCATGTTCATCGGTTGGTTCACCTCATTATAGATCAACGTATTAATACATTTGTTCATTAACGATCATGTCCATACAAAAACGTATAAACGTATCTTTCTATAAAAAATCACAACTTTCAAAGTGACATCATTTCATAAAAGAACTAAACAATATAAATTTTCAATAAAGAAAATGATCTTTCAAGAAAGGCACGTGACCAACTTCCGAATTAGTAGTTTAATCAATTAGTCTTCATTAAGACTAAACAACTGATGAATTACCAACTACTATATCAATGGGGTTCAAAAAATTATATCATTTAGACATTACGTCTAACATTGGTTTTTGTCATGCATAAGCTAAAAGCCCCCACAATTTAAATATTTCATGTGCCTTTTCCATCAACATATAACCCATACAAACAATGACTACATAATTTAGAGTATTCTTAATGTAAATACACTAGTTTGAAACCATTTGACGATATTTTCTAGTCAAATTTCGCATGCCATTGTTTGAGTGTTTATTTTAGTCCGTAAAGTGACTTAACAAGCCGATACACCTTCTTTCATTTCCAGGAACCACGAACCCTTCATGTTGTTCTATATAAATTTCTTCCTCCAAATCTCTATTTAAGAAGGCTGTCTTTTACGCCCATCTTATGGACTTCAAGGCCATACACGGTGGCTAACGTTATTACCATCCGAATAGATGTAATTCTCGTTGCCGGTGAGTATGTGTATAATTAATCAAGACCTTCTCGTTGTCTTAATCCTTTCGCAATCAATCTTGCCTTATATTTGTCAATAGTACCATCACCTTTCATTTTCCTTCTGAAAATCCACTTAGAATCCAAAGGTTTATTTCCTGGAGGAAGATCAACCAAATCCCAAGTATGCTTACTTAATATGGATTCTATTTCACTATTGACTGCCTCTTTCCAATATTGTGCTTCCGAGGAAGACAATGTTTCTTTAAAAATTTGAGGCTCGTCTCTAACAAGAATGTTAGAAAATCCGGTCCAAAGGAAGTAGTTATCCTTTGACGTTTATTACGTCTTGGATTTTACTAATTCAACGTACTTTCCTTTGCTTCTTCCCGAGTTTGTTTAGATATTTCACTAGACGACTCACATTCCTTTTTATACGGATAAATATTCTCAAAGAATTCAGCATTATCTGATTCGATTACCGTATTAATATGAATGTCGGGATTTTCTGATTTATGAACCAGAAAACGATATGCCTTACTATTTGTTGCATATCCTACGAAAACGCGATCAATAATTTTTGGTCCGATCTTTACCCTTTTGGGTTTAGGAATTTGCACTTTATCTAAGTACTCCCACACTTTAAAATATTTAAGTTGTGCTTCCTTCCATTCCATTTTTCATATGGAATGGATTGCGTCTTGCTATGGGGAACTTGACTGAGTATACAGTTATTTGGAAAAATAACTAGTTCTGAGGTAAACCAGAACTTATCAACAAGGCATTCATCGTCTCATTTAACGTTCTACTCATTCTTTCCGCAATTCCATTAGATTGCGCTAATGAAGGGACAGTCGTTTGGTGAATAATGTCATATTCCAAACATATTTCTTCAAACGCCGCCTCTATTGCTTTGTAGAGCCAACCACATGAACTGTTGTTTGTGTCATTAACAGAGCCAGAATAAATGGTGAAGTTTTTAATCTTCAAACCAATCTGACACCATTAGAATTAATAGACGGTAAAGTTTTTAATCTTCTAACCGAGTAATACCTGATACAGGATCTAATACACGGTGAAGTTTTTAATCTTCAAACCGAATAATATGTGACACAATCAAATTTAATAAACGGTGAAGTTTTTAATCTTCAAACCGAATAATAAATTGGAGTAGAAAATCACTAAGATTTGAATCTCCAAAACGAGTATAAAGTCACCCAGACTTTAATTTCCGACAAATGAGTAGAAAGTCACGAAGACTTTAATCTCAATGAACGAGTACAAAATCATGCAGATTTTGATCTCGAAGTAGGAGTAGAAAATCACGAAGATTTTATTCTCCATAACGGGTGTAAAATATTACGAGAATTTTAATTCCCTTTCCAAATGGTTTTCCAACTAAACCATTATAACACTTTAAACAATTTGATCTCTTTCTCTAATCAAACACATATATGTTAATCTTTACATATATTATATTTATGATCTCAAAATAATTTTCAAGTATTAATGTAAGCCTAATTCACATCTTACATACCTTGAAAATAATCTTTCACAATATTTTTTTTTATGCATGTTACCAAATTCTATATCA